TCTTTTTTTAACTTTTGATATTTGCTTGGTCTATTTTTTTTTTCTCTACTTATTTATCGATGTCAACATTGAGGCATGAATTTTCCTGAGACTGTTTATTACAGTATTCCATGGCTTTAATATATAATATTTTCCTTATGATGTTTAAAAAATTCCATCTAAATTAAGCTATTCAGCTGAAGTATGTACCTCTCCAAATTAATTTTTAATCTTATTATAAATATATAATTTTATTGCTTTGTTGAGAATACCATAAGTATAATATAATACCTTGTTTCTTATGATGTTGAGCATCTTTTCATGTGCTTACTTGCCATCCACCAATGTCCTTTGCAGAGGTGTCAGCGTATTGGTTTTCTTGTTATTGGTTTGAGAGGTATATTTTTAGACTTTACACAGGTTCTTTATCAGATATATGCTTTGTACATATTTTCTCCCAGTCTGTGGCTTGCCTTTCATCCTTTCATTCTCTTAATAGTATCTTTCAAAGAAATAAGTAGTTCTTAATTTTTATGAATTCCAAATTCTCAATTTATCTTGTGGATCATGCTTCTGGTTATGTCTTTAAGAAATCTTTTTTTTTTCCTCCTCCAAGTTTTAAAGCTTTCAGTTTCACATTCAGGTCTATAATTCATTTGGAGTTAGTGTTTCCATATGATGGTAGATATGGATCAAGGTTAATATTTTTACATATCGGTTACCCAATTGTTCTAGTATCATTTGTTGGAAAGATTATACTTTCCTAAATTGCCTTTGCCCTTTTGTGAAAATTCAATTGTTCATGTTTGTGTGGATCTGCTTCTTAATTCTTCTATTTTGTTGGTCTTTGTGTCTACCTTTACACTAATACCACACAGTTCTGACCACTGCAGCTTCATAATTTGCTTTGAAATCAGGTTGTGCTAGCCCTCCCATTTTGTTGTTTTTCAACATTGTTTTGGATATTCAAAGTGCTTGATATTCCCTGATGAATTTAAAAAAGAACATGTAGATCTGAACAGAACTTCTGCTGAGACTGTGATTCTGCTGACTCTGCAGATGGAATTGAGAAGCACTGATATCTTACCCCTGACATCTCTACACCCAAGAATAAGGTGCATCTCTCCATTTACTAAAATCCTCCTTACTTTTCCTAGGCAATGTTTTGTAGTTTGCAAAGTACAGGTTTCACATATCTTTTGTCATATTATCCCTGAGTATTTCACTTTATTTGATGCTCTTGTAAATTTTTTACCATCTACATTTCTAATTTTTATTGCAACTGTAGTGAGAAACAATTGATATTTAATATTATTCTTGCATCCTGCAATCATGCTGAACTCTCTGGTTAGTCATCGTAGTGTTTTTTATAAATTCCATGCAATTTGCTACCTAGGCAATCATGTTTTCTAAGAATAAAGAATTTTCTTTCTTTCTTTCCAATCTGAATTCTCTTTATTTTTTTTCCTTGCCTTATTGCATTGGATAGAAACTTCATGACAATGTTAAAAAGAAATGGAAAATAAATATCATTTTCTTTCTTTTTTTTTAATATTAGGGAGGAAGCATTTAGTCTTTCACCATTAACGACAATGTTGTCTGTGAGCTTTTCATAGAAAATCTTTGCCAGGTTGTGGAAGCTCCCTTCTTAGTCCTATTTTGCTGAGAGATTTTACCAGAAATGGATGTTTCATCTAATAAGACAAAATATGTTTTTTTTCTTTTTTTTAACCTTGTTAATATGATAAATATTGTTGGCTTTCTAATACTAGATCAACTTTTTACTCCTGAAATAAATCCTAATGGGGCATTGTATTTTTGCTTTTATAATACTTCTTTTCAACATTTATTTCATACACACACACACACACACACACACACTAAATTTTATTGGAAATTTTTTAATCTATCTCTATTATCTTTTTTCTTTTAATGTCTTTGATTTTATTATCAAGGTAAGTCTGGCATCATAAAATGAGCTGGAAAGCATTCTCTTCTCTTCAGTTTTCTGGAAGAGTTTGTGTTGAATTTGTGATTCTTCCTTAAGTGTTTGGTAGAATTCATTAGTGAAGCCAATTGAGATTGGAATTATATTTGTGTGAAGGTTTTCAGCTACAAATTCAATTTCTTTAGTAGATAAAAGACAATTCAGGTTATCTATCTCTTCCGAAGTGAACTTTAGTAGTTTGTGCCTTTCCAGCAATGTATCTATTTCATCTTGGTTGTCATAGTTATTGGCATGGAGTTTTTCATAATATTCCCTAAAAATCCTTTTGCCTTTTGTAATTATGTCATCTTCTTGTTCCTGACATTGAAAACTCGTGTCGTCTCCTCCCGCTCCTCCTCCTCCTCTTCCTCTTCTTCCTCCTCCTCCTCCTCTTTCTTCTTCTTCTTTCCATTCTGATGGGCCCAACTAGAGGTTTATTGTTTCTCAAAGAACCAGTTTTCTGTCTCATTGCCTTTCTTCACTTTCTTCGTTATTTTCTGCTCTCTCTCTCTCTCTCTCTCTCTCTCTCTCTCTCTCTCTCTCCTACTTATTATTTTCATGATTTCCTTTATTCTGTTCACTTTGGGCTTGATTTGCTCTTTTCTTCCTATCTCTTAATGTTAAGCTGAAATAATTGATTTGCCTTATTGAATTGGATAGAAACATCTTGACAATGTTGAATACAATCCAGGCACTCAGTGCTACAGACTTTTCTGGAAGTATTATTTTAGTGGCATTCCCCAGATGTTGATATAAGGTATTTTTATTTTCATTCAGCTCAAAATATTTTATTATTTCCCTTAGATGTCTTCTTTGAGTTATTCACAAATCTGAGAGTGCTGGGTATGTTTCCCTATAATTCTTTCAGTGGGTTCTTTCCCCAGCCTTGGAGAGCTTCCTTCCATGTGTGTGCTAACCAGAAGCCTCTACAGATCTTCAAAGTTCTCCATCTGTGAGGCTGTATCTTCTCCAGTCCTTGGTTCTGTGAATCTGTCTACCTGGGTCTCTCTGAACTTTCAGTTTCATCTCAATTCTGGGACTCTACTGAGCTCTCTCTATATTTCTTCCTCATGCCACAGCCTAGAAACTCTCTCCAAATGGGAACAGTTGTGGGACTCACCTTAGTTATTTTCTGCCTTCTAGAAGTGACTCACTGTCTTTCATTGACTGATGTACAGTATCTTGAAAACAATTACCTTTTATTTTGTCTGTCTTTTTGGTTGTCAAGTATGAAAATAAATCCATGTCCTTTTCTACACCTTGGCCAGAATCAGAAGTTAAGGTAGCTTGCATTTATTAATATAATCTGCTCTGATTAGTTACTTGTGTTCATAGTTTTCGAATGGTTTGTATTTCAGTTCTAGTGGTTACCATTGAATTGTATCTTTATATACCATCCTTAGTTTTACTTTTCTGACAACATCTATTAGATTAGTGATGAAACAATTATTGTACTTGTCTTTCTATTCTTAACAAACCAATTTCAATCAACATTATTTTTAGTATAGTATGTTGGTATAGATACTTAATTAAGTTTATTTTTAATTAAGCTTATTTTTCTATTGTTTGCATCTTCTGTGTCTTCCCCCAATTCTTATTATGTCTAAAGTATAACTTCCTGGTAGGAGAAGGTGGGAAATGTTAGCATATTTGTAGTGCTGGTCCCCAAAGCATCACTTGGGATATAGAGAAATGCTTCTGATCCCTGGCTCTCTTATTACCAGCTCTACTCTGACCTTTGTGTAACCTATCACAGTCAGTTTCCTAGAATGGGATACCTATCTTTTAAGCTTGTTAAGAACCTTACACCCTTACACATGGAAAATACTTAGCATAAAACCAGATGCACAGGAGTACTTAGATAATTTCAATTATTATTATGAATAAAAATAAAATTTAACAGGCAAACATATATAGTATATACATATATATATATACATAGTGGACACTGTGCTAGCCTCCTTATATCCCTATTCCACTTAATCTTCACAATAAATATATGCCAAATGCAGTGTCTCATTTCAGGGCTGAGGGGGCTGTGAGAGGTTAAGAATATACCCAGTCACCCAGCACATAAATGACAGTGGTGAAATTAAGACCCAAATGATGCCAAAGTCAGAGGTCACTCCCCTACCCCACAGCTGCCTTTAATATGCTGCACCCTGCCATGCCAATGAAAGAACAAACACATACACATACACACATGTGCAAGCACACACCTGCATGTGTGCACTCACTTTATTCTGAGAACAAACTTGGCCTTACACTTGGTCTATAGACAGGATACACCTGGACGCATATAACTTGCCTGTTTTTCCAAACGCTGGTTCAGAGTCTGGCTTGCAGACAATGTGCAGATGGAAATCTTCCTGGACTTAAGCCAAGAAGAGGAGAAAGGGTGGAAAAAGTCTTGCCCCATGGCCCACAGTAGCATCCAGGGCACCCAGATAAGACAGATACTTGGATATTAGCTGTAAGAATCATGCCATCAATACCTTTGGCCTTTTCAGTACTTTACAGTTTGCAAAGTTCTTCAGCATCCAGCTCCCTCAGACTTTCCACAGCAGCTTTAAATCTGAGGAAATGGTGGTTCAGAGAGGCTAATGGCTCACCCAAGGTCACCCAGGCAGTTGGTAATAGAGCCTGGACAACAATCCAGATCTCCTAACCATTTGTCCAGTGTTTTTCTCATGATACAGTTTTGACTTCATGGATAATATAAATCCTGTCATAGTTTTATTGGGGGTATGATTGTACCCCATAGGTGGGTAAGAAAAGAATCAATATGTAACCAGTACTACATGTCCTCAGCACTATGATGTGAGTGACAACAAATAAAAAGACTCAAAGCCTGGTCCTTGTTCTTAATACAAATTCATTCATTCACTCATTCATTCATTCAAAGAGTTCCCTTGGTGTCCATCCCTGTTGAGAGTTAGAAAGAACTCCTCAAGGAGCTCACAGTGTAATGAAGGAGACAGACTCAAAGGTCAGCTGTTCCAATTCCACGGGAGAAAAGCTAAAATAAAAGTACCTGTGGTCTGATGAGCATACTGTTGACAGCTCTTCCGCTTGCCCGTGGGATCCTAGAAGGCATTGCAGAAGGGAACGGAGTATGGAAGGATCCACAGGAGCCCAAGGATCCACATGCCCAAGAAGTGGGCATGTTGCGTTCAGAGGACCACCAGTAGCCCAGGACAAGGGCAAGGGCTTGACAGGTACCACATGCAGAGGCCTCCTGGTCACACTGAGATCAGACTCTTCCCTGTGGATGATGGAAAGCCATTGTAAGATGTGAAACAGGCAGTAACAAAACAGAATTGATTAAAAAGCTCACCATGGCACAGGCAGGAATTAATGCAATGACTGATCAAGGTGCGGACCCATACGGAACATGGGCAGGAAAAGGGTGGGTGACTCTGGCTTAATCTAAGGTCAGCATCGATGGCAGCTCAATGAGGGCCTTTAGACCTAGCTAGAAGTTCCTCCTCTGGCACCCAGGAACCCCTCTCCCATGCTCTGGAAGCAGCGACAGAGTTTAGTAGAGGTTAACAACAACTGCTTTTAAGCTGTCATTTTAAGACATTGTATGCCGTCTCCACTTCTCAGGCTGTGTGATTTTGGACAAGTTGCTTCCTTATTTAGGAAGTAGAGATGATAATAGTACCCATATCCTTGATTATTATAAGGGTTAAATAATTTAATACATATAAAGCACTTCAACAATGTCTGACCGTGATTAAGCATGCAATAAAAATGGATTTGTATTAGCACTACATGCATTTGCCATTGGGCAGTTGTGTTTATGGATGTACCTGACCAATCAGGGAGCTCTTTGGGGACAGGTACCCATGCCAGCCTGGGACACAGCAGGTTCTTGATGAGTATTTGCTGAGCACATTGGATGCTAAGCTGAAGATGCATTCAACAGATTCAATCACTTGACTGATTAAACATTAGGCAGAGAGTTAAAGACGAAAATACAAGGATTCTGAGGTTTCTGAACTGGGATAGGTGATGTCATGGCTGAGATGGGGAATCAGAGAGATAAGTAGCTAATTTGCCCAAGATCAAATCTGGGAACTGAAGAAACAGAGGTCTGAACCAGGTCTGTCAGAGTTCGTGTTCCATTAAAAACAGTTTACATAACTTGCATGTCTGAGCTTAGCACAGTTCCCAATGCAGCAGGTTTCTAATGCATATGTCAAATGAGTCGGTGAAGCCTAGAGCAAATGGCTTTCTTTTTGTAGATGCCAGGATGCCAGGGTTGCTTTTCTTTTCAATGATAGAGGTCTGTGGAGGTCAAAGAAAGAAGAGAAAACCAAATGTTCCAGGAAGAACTAGTAACCAATATTTCTGGTGAATGAGCGTGAGGATCCACCTGCCTTCTCTTCTCCTTTTTTCTCACACATCAGGACATCTTCTGTGATCCCCGGTGGCGTCATAATAGACTCTTGCAAACTGCTAGGAAGGATGACTAGAACTGCCTACCAGGAAGTTTTGCCCACATCAAAAAAAAAAAAAGTGTGCTTGGTGACAGGGGACCAGTCATGCGGACTCCTCCACATATGATCCTGTCTCAATCACCACCTCCTCAGAGGACAGGCTTCTTTCATCAAGCCACTTGTAGGATTGACACCTGAATATCACATAATGATATATTTATTGGTCAAGATGGATGGCATACAAGATGTGGTTCCATAAGATTATATCATCTAGTGACACTGTAGCCCACTTGGTGTGCCTAAGCACACTGTGATGTTCACACAAGGACAAAAATCACCTAATGACACATTTCTCAGAACACAGCCTGTCATTAAGCGATGCATGACTGTATTAGAACAGAATCGTCTGCATACTTCCTATTTGAAATCTATGACCTTCCTTCAATTCAAGTCTGGGTCGGGACAGTGATAATAATTATAATCATGTATTAATTTATTGAATGTTTACTACTTCCAAAATCCAGTGAGTGCTTTATGTTTAATATTTCATTCAAACTTCACCAAATTCTGTAAGAAACAGTTATCATCACTCAAAAGAGCAAAAGGGAATGGAATTTCAGCCTCAGAGAAGCTGAGCAGCTGACCAAAGGCACTCAGCAAATGAGTGAGGAATCAGGATCAGAGCCCCAGCTTGGCTGACTCCAAAACCCACAATGCATCCACGCACCAATTTTCTCTTTGCCTCCTTTGAATTTAGGACTGTGCATAGTTTAACTTGATCCAAATAAATCCAGTGGAGGCATGGAGCTCACATTCTAATTCCAGGGATAACAAGATAAGAGTATCCCTGCTCAGATGCCTTCTAACAATCCAAAAGAATCAGAGGAGGGCTGCACAGGGATCAGGAGACAAGATTCAGAGATCTGGGTTCAAAGGTCAACTGTGCCACTTACTAGCCATGAGGCTTCTGTTGAATCACTTAAATTATTTGGACCCCTTTTGTTTGTTAGTTTTACATGTCCTCTTCCCCCAACACACTTTTTGAAATATAAAATAAATGGGTTTATCTAAATAGCCTCTGAATGCTCTTAGAAAAACTATTTGTTCTGTTTCCAAATTTATGTTTTTAGTGAACTTTTCCAGTTAAAAATTAATATCTATTAAAGAAAAGCATACTTGTTACAGAGAAAGTAATAAAAAAGATATAGAAGACTAGAAAGAAAAAAATCTGATTCTGTTTTAGCACAAAAGAGTGATTATTGAAAATTTGAACTTAAAGGACTATCAAAGAGGCTTAACAAAGCTTTGGACATTTAACAACAACAGCAAGGATGTTCGGGCTTTTCTTGTAACTTTCCTAAACATTTTTTGGCCTTCTTTTAGAAGCATTTGTATTTCATGTCTCCTTTCCAGTGATCAGATATACAGACTTAACATGTTCTTTTTTTTTTTAATCAGAAATATCAATTGAGCCTCCTAGCTTTGTTTTATTTATTTATTTGTTTTAATGTGGTGCTGATGATCAAACCCAGTGCCTCTCACATGCAAGGCAAGCCCTCAACCACTGAGCTACAACCCGAGCCCTGGACTTAACATGTTCTTATGAACCTTTTTATTTTTTTGATGACTAGAAATAAATAAAATAAATTAAAAAAAAAAAAAACTCTTAGTAATATTTCACTCCACAACCTCTTGCTGAGAACCTACAATGTCTGAGACTTGTTCAAGGAGATATGCAGAATAAGGCTGTCCTCAGTGGGGAGCAGCAATGTCCAATTCAGGGAAAGCCCAGAAGGACACGTGAGTGATTGGAGTGGAGCACCCAGCGCTGGGCAAAGACAGCTACCAATTTTGTCACAAAGGAGGCTACAAAGGCTGGGTCCTGAAGCATGAACTAGAGTCCAACAAATGACAAAGTCTTAGAAAATCAACTACCTACTACCTACACCAGCTCCTGTTTGGTCATCTAGTGTCAGAGTGACCATGTGGAAATTATAGTCTGATTAACAGATAAGGAAACTGAGGCTCCTAGAGCACGTGGTGAAACTAATATTTAAAAGTCATGAAGCTAATATAAAAATGACAGCATTACTCTTTTCAACAATTCAGGATGTTAACAATGGGCAGGCCTGAAAGATACGAGGCTGCTTGTCCCCAGAGGGGTTTGAATAAGCATGCACTAGGACTCTTGCTGGTGGTGGGAATTAGAGTCTTTCAAATGAGCCTCCTGCTCCCTGCTCAACTAGTCATAGGCTATTTAACCTGGGAGCCTCTATTTCCTCAGCTGTAGAATAGGAGTGTGGCAATTTCTTCTTTACAAGGTCCTGGAGAAAAATAAAGAGGGAAAGGATGGCCCTTGGACTTGTAAAAGCTGGCAATTATTACAGTTGTACAATTATCTACCTGTGGATTCATGGCAACCAGTTGTTGGGCTTCAGGCTTCCGGTAGCAACCAATTATCTCTTTGTATGAGCTCTAACATGGAATATTGCGCTAATAAAAGTCTTAGAGAAAAGCTGGGCGTGGTGGTACATGCCTGTAATCCCAGCAGCTCAGGAGGCTGAGGCAGGAGGACCACGTGTTCAAAGCCAGCCTCAGCTATGGTGAGGTCCTAAGCAACCCAGTAAGACCCTGTGTCTAAATCAAATACAAAACAGGGCTGGGATGTGGCTCAGTGGTTGAGTGCCCCTGAGTTCAATCTCCAGTACCAAAAAAAAAAAAAAAGTCTTAGATACAAAGATGGAGCCAAAGTTCTCCTTTTGCACACAGGGAAATAAATTCCAAGAGAGGAAGGGGTAGGTCCAAGTCCATACATGAAGTTAGAAACAGGATGGAAGCCATGGTCTCTGATGCCTACCCAAGCTCTAAATTCGGCTTTCATTTTCTGTTACTAAGCAGTTCCCAGGACCTTCAGGATCCTGTCTTTATTCATTGAGCATCTGTCACTTACAGGTTCAAAGGATTTTCTACATATTCACTATTCAATCCAAATAGCAACCCGATGAGACTGATCTTATTGCTAATCTCCATGTTATGGATAAAGGAAATGCAGCAGAGAAAGGTGAAGTCACTTATTATAGACTCAACCAGTGCAATAGTAAAGCCAAGATTCGTACCTGGGCAGCTGGGCTCCTGGACCTGTACCTTAACCACAACACCATATGGACTCTCAAAGTGAAAAGGTGTGTAGCGGCTGCCTGGGAAAGGCTGTCTCCAGAGGGGAGAAGGAAGTGGTGTGTTACAGGCACCAGGAGAAGAAAGGAAGGAAGGGTCAGTTGAGGGAATTGAGAAAGTCCAGGCCTCTTGGAGTAGGTGATCTTTGTCTGGTTTCAGACCCACCTAAGTTTCCTCCAGGTTGGTAAGTGGGAGAAGGGAGGAAGGCACTCTGCAGATGGAACCACCTTTGCTAAGGCAAGTAGGCCCCAGGCAGCCTAGGGCTTAAGGGGCGCAGTCAAGGCGCTAGAGAGACAAAGACAGGGAGAGATACATAAGGGCCAGGGCACCAGGCACTAGCCAGTGAGTGAAGTGAGCAAATCACTCCATCTATAGGAGCCTCAATTTCCTTATCTGTAGATGAGGATAATAATGCCTACTTTATGAAGCTGTAGAATACTGAGGTGTGTTTATACATCCTAACCCACTGCTATTTCTCTTTCTTTATTTGCTGCTCATAAAACTATTTCCCTCAGTAAAAAAATTTTAATTGAGCCTATTTTTTACACTTATACTCAAAGTAGCATTAATAACCCTAAGTGTCATGATTAGTCACTCGTAATAACAATATAATTAATAATAATGTTAATTGCCATTGATTGCAGGC